CTTTAATGCATGTCCTAAATTTTAACGGGTCTGTAGGAAAGGCAGGCTGTCGAGTTACTGACAGAGAGAGGGGAGGATTATTACTATATATATATATATATATATATATATATATATATATATATATATATATATATATATATATATATATATATATATATATATATATATATATATATATATTTAAACTTGTAATCAGTTATTTTCTGTATAAATGGGACACAAGTAGCTGTGCTTGTTGCAGTCACAGTATCCAGATGGCTTTTTTTAATATACAGTATATATATTCGCATACTGATGTGGCGGTACTGCTAAAATCAGACCCAGCATACCTGCACCTCTAACTCATTTCAAAGGTCTAATTGAGACGTCTTCCAGCTCTCAAGACCATTCTAAAAGAAGGCGCTTCACTCTGCTTAGCAAATGAGCACACCATGAGCAAGAAACCTTGGTGTCTTGATGCACTTGTGGGAGGCTGTCATTTCAAAGAGCACCCCTTTATAGCGATGGCACATTGAGCGTCAGTCAGCCTCAACACTGCTGGCAAGGAGATTATGGCTCTTTGCAGCCTACCGCTTGCTCTCTTTCTCTCTCTACTACCATTTGCAGAGGACAACATTCAGCAGAGTGAAGTGTACAAATCACTTCCATGGCTTGTTTAGGGGAGGAACAGCAGAGAGGTTTAATATTAGCAATTTGGCATCTCGATAAAAACGAATTTGTCTCTGTACTGTGAAGCAGAGATGTAACACGTAATGAGAAGAGATAATAAATTTGCCTTCTATCTGGCATTTTCCATCATGTTTATTTGACTGCACTTCACAACCTTGACAAAATCACATTTTGCTTTCACAAGTTTACTGGCACTGCATGAATTATGGAAGGAGCTGAGAAGGATGGAAGATTTTTTTGTAAAAAAGCGACTATTTGAAAACCATTCCCTCCATCCGCACTTATTTTATCCGCTCTCCAAAATAACAGCAGAGCGATGAAGTCATCCGCTTTTGCCAGTGCAGTTATGTTGCATTTGCATAGCCTAGGCTTTCAGTGCAACGTATAATTTTGCCACACATTACAGAAAGGCCATTCAATCGAACACACTGGGTCAACACCGCCTGATAATGGTGCCTGTGTACCTGCTAATGAATAAAGCCCCAGTTGCGTGTGTCTGTCGTTTTTTTGTCAGATTTTAATGGGATCATATATTATTTAAGCATGCAGGACAAGTTAATACACTCCGTGCAGCATACCTGTCATATTAAATAATTAACCGTGGCTGAGCAAAACATTAAACAGGAAATAAAGCATTAACACAAATGCAGTTTGTGCAGAGAGATTTCTCTCCTTCTGTATGTTTTTGTTTCATAACTGTGGCCCTGTTTATTTAAACAATATGACACCAGCAAAAGGTGTTGTTCTGGATAGCAGCACGACTGTGATTTGGCCATCGGCACGAAGCCAGAGGGTAATTGATATTCAGTTCTATATACAGCATGATTTAATACCACTTTTTATGTAAAAGTTCTATGAACAATAAGCAAATTCCATTTGAGACAAATTGGACAAGTTATTTCAGAATTTTTTCCCCCTCCACCTGACAAATGTTCAAAAAGAAACCAAGCAACACACAGAAAAGCCGGACTGGAACCCATATATACACAGTAACACCATTGTGGTTTTTGCAGTTCTTGTGAGAGATACTACAATGAGGGATCCTGCAGCAAAACAGATGCTCTGAATTTAAAATTTAATCTTGAGGTTGTTTTTCCTCAATGTTTGTATGACTCCGTTTGTCTGCGTTTGCGTTTTCCATGTGAGTCTGTAATGGATATTTTTCAGTAACACTTTCTGCTGGTTACATTGCTACACCACTGAGTCATGTGAGCGAGTTATTGAATCATTCATTCAACTTATCAATTCAACCACAATAATTTATTCATGAATAAAACGAGTGGTCTTTACAAGTTATTGAATCATTCACTCGATTGATTAATTTAGCTGCACTGATTGTTTAAGAAGTGAGTCAGTGAGTCATTCATTCAACCAATTTGTTCAAATACCCTGATTAAAAAAAAAGAAAGAAAGAAAGAAAATCAGGTGGTCTTTACAAATGAGTCATTATATCATTCACTAAACTGATTTATTCATCTACACTGATTCATTCTGGAGAGAGTCATTAACTCATTCATTCAATCAATTTGTTCAACTACACTTATACTACCTACATTTATTCAGAATTGAGTAACTGAATAATTCACTTAGCCGATTTGTTCAACTACACTGATACTGAAATTAGAACCATGTACTAGTATAATACTCTTACTATTTTACCATTGTGACAAGGTTCAATTAAAACGATGAAGAAGTTTGTTTGAGTGAAGTAGAGAAAATCTTTTCTCTTTAAGCACCACAAAATTATTCAGAAATCAAAATAAGTCCAGAAAAACAATGAGTGTGGTTCGTCTCTCTCTCGCCCCATCCAGGTCTAGACACTTCTTATATTCTCTCTCCACGGCACTAGAACGAGACACAGGTGTTAGTCCTTATGTACTTGACCTACTTGCCTTACCTCTAGTCTCCCAACCTGTTCTGCCATTGCCGACTCTGCTCTGCCATGCCCCCTTGCCACAATCGTATTGTTATATGACAGAAATAGTAAGAGTACTATGCTAGTATGCGGATCCAAATTTAGCATGATTAATTTAGAAGTGAGTTCATTCACTCATCTGATTTGTTCAACTACAATGATTCATTCAGGAGTGAGCCACTGAATTGCTGCATCTCAATGTGCCTACTTATGCTACGCCCTTAAAATATGTACTCTTTTGGTGAAGAAAAAGTACACATTTTTGAGTGTGTAGTAGAAGAGTAGGCAAGCTTTGGGACATACTATCACGTCACACAACTGCATCTTTAACGGACGCTCTGTCGCATAGATACACGCACCCTGTTACTGTAAATTGGCCTATCAATCATCTTGTCACAGTTGACATCCTCCATATAGCATTTCATTTAACTTCCTACCGTATTAGAGAGAAAAAAAGTAGCTCGTTGATCTGCTAGTCACGGGTAGATGTTTATAAACCAAACGGATGTTTATAAAAGTTTACATTGCTGTTGCAGATGAAATATAACACAGATAACATTACATTCCGGTCGCGCACATCCGCCATGTTTGTAGTTTTTTAACACATTTTATTTGTGTTTGTAGTTCTGGACAGAATCCTTCACCAAAGCACAATGGATTGTGGGCAGTATTAGCCACTAGAGTGTGCATGGATCCACACTTCAAAAATCGACCTGAAATAGTAGACCATCCGGGGGCTTTTGGCATACTCTTTTCAACATACTATGCTTTGGGACACACTTATACTAATCTTACATACTATTTAGGATGGATAGTATGAACATTGAGACGCAGGGATGAATTTATACAACAGATTAATTTAACTACATTGATTGATTTAGAAATGTGATTAATTGAATCATTCACTCAACCAATTCAGTTTGCTGATTCATTCAGGAACTAGTAAATACCACTGTTGTGTGTTGCTTGGTGACGTGATAGCTCTGCTTTAGCATAGTTTAAAACTATTCACTGGTGGTGCAAAAATAGAAGAAGCTACCCACAGAATTGTGTCTAAAATGTAAGTTTCTCAATATTAGCTTAATGTTTATTGAAATGTTGTATGGATTATCACACTTACAATCGTATTGTGGGTCAGAATAGTGCTGTTGCTCGTGTACCACGTGGCGGAATTGAGTTCAAATTGCTCTCTTCTTAACAAAGAGCTTAATAGATGTTTTGATTGACCAAAGTAGAGCAGACACAGGTCAATGTGAGTGATGCTGACAGTGACTCTCCTGAATAAACATGCAATGTCCTCTGAGCTGCCCTTGAAACTAGGATAATGTGTGCTCTATTAGTCTCCCCATACTTGAGTTCCTGAGCCAGCTCTGCTCAGGTTACAATATCATGTATTGTTTAAACTAGCTCATTAGAGGAAGAACTGTCTACGGGAGCGTAAGAACCTGGTTGAAAAGGAAAAGAATGATTCCGTAATTGGTCAATTGTGCAAAAAATTTTTTAAATCATGTAACCTATGTCTCTGTAGAGTTTTATCCTTTCAGGAGCGGCACAAAACTCCTTTCTATTATCTCAGACGCCTAGGGCTGACCACGCAATGTTTGTCTTTTACCCGATAGCGGGTGTGAAGTGAGGTTACCACACAGCCCATGCTGACTCCTCTAAGTGCTGATGAAATATAGATGTTGAAGTCTGGACCGCTCAATGTTTCATCTCTCTTGGTGATACCATAAGGAAGCCATTAATAGTGTCAGAGAGCATTAGTCCTACAAAAAGAAGATAACTGGATGTAAGAGAATGACTGGCAGCACCTACTTGGAATCAACTGTGCGTCCCACAAATATTAGTGAGAGAAGTTTGTCCCCTGCTGTGCAGACATTTTCTTCCTCATATGTATGTGAGGTCACTTCAAGATGGTCATTTCCCCCTGCGCTGCCTTTGTCAGTGTGCAGAGGCCCTGCATCATGCATAATCACAAACAGCAGGACCATCTGTTGTTGCCTTGTTGACTTATCTACGTGCAACCTTTTTACTGTTGGTTTTCATGTATCAGTCTGATGTAGCACCATATTTACATTATGCTAATTGGTTAATGAAATCCTGTTTGAGAACCTTTGCATATGTTATGAAGCATGTGCTGTGTTACGCTCATGTTTTCAGCAGTGGATGCAGAAATAGGCTTGTATGGAGAAGGTTTGCCGTAACTATCTGTTGTATATTCCACCAGCGCAGATTGATGACCTTAACCTTTATTCACTCAACTGGCTTTTTCATTTCTTCAGAATAAGTGAACGTAATAGGTCACTTTGTTCTCCCTTATTACGAAACATGCAATTTATAGGAACTGTGCTTGAATGTAACAGTTTTATTTGAACTAAAATAACTAACACAGAGTGATTTGTTTTTCTTCTAGAACCAGAGCCAGACTCCAGATAAAACATTCTCTGTTGTCCTAGCCACGTGCACCCACAAGGTAAGTCACTGTCTTACTAATGGTTCTGCCTGTTAGAGGCATTGTATTTTCACTGTAGGATAAAGGCGTTACAGTTTGTTGCATCTCTGTGAATCAGTTGTTCTAAACTGAATTTATCTCTTCTAATACGCAAACAGAAGGGAAAAACAATGTGAAAATGTGTCTTTTGTTATTGACGTCACAGGCTGTGCTTTTTGTTGTCTTTTTTGTTGCTAATTTCTCTAGCTCAAACATTTCTTAAGCGCAAACATCGCCAAAGTCATGGGTTCGATTCCCAGGGTATGCATGAACTGATAAAAAGCATCTACCAAATGCATAGATGTAAATGATCCTGTCAAGTTAGGCAAATAGCAACATGGACATGTTGAGTTACATGCCCTTGTCCACAAAATTACACCAGGTAAATATTCAGGATGAGCTGATAAGCTGTTTTTTGCATGCTATTGTCAATAATAAATGGAACATGTAGCTTTTAGTTTTTGGTGTTTAATTTAATTTTTTTCTATTTGAAAAATGGATATTCATTTTGAGATTTTCTAAAGATTTCATGTATCAGGGTTACTAAATTATTAGCATTTTGAATTATTAATATTAAGTGAGTGTTATATTAAGTAAATGAATATTATGTATAGGTAAAACTGAGCATGCACAATTAAATATCCAGTATTGATATACATATGATACCAATAAATCATGCATCACAAAAAAAAAAGGTTAATTGACTCTTGGTTCCTAGTTATATTGACTCTTGGTTCCTAGTTATATTAACCAATTTTAGTAAATTAATAAAGATTAATCATGATTTTATGAACTTTTTAATTATTGTTTTTAATTATTTTTTCAATGTATTTTATGGATAATTCATAAACAATTTTGCTGCTGTGTTGGGTCGCCTCTTGATCTGTGTCCTGAAGCAAAACCAGTTGAGAACTGCTACTGAAAAATATATATATATACAGGCGCATCTCAATAAATTAAAATGTTGTGGAAAAGTTCCTTTATTTCAATAATTCAGCTCAAATTGTGAAACTCGTGTATTAAATAAATTCAATGCACACAGACTGAAGTAGTTTAAGTCTTTGGTTCTTTTAATTGTGATGATTTTGGCTCACATTTAACAAAAACCCACCAATTCACTATCTCAACAAATTAGAATACTTCATAAGACCAATAAAAAAAACATTTTTAGTGAATTGTTGGCCTTCTGGAAAGTATGTTAATTTACTGTACATGTACTCAATACTTGGTAGGGGCTCCTTTTGCTTTAATTACTGCCTCAATTCAGCGTGGCATGGAGGTGATCAGTTTGTGGCACTGCTGAGGTGGTATGGAAGCCCAGGTTTCTTTGACAGTGGCCTTCAGCTCATCTACATTTTTTGGTCTCTTGTTTCTCATTTTCCTCTTGACAATACCCCATAGATTCTCTATAGGGTTCAGGTCTGGTGAGTTTGCTGGCCAGTCAAGCACACCAACACCATGGTCATTTAACCAACTTGTGGTGCTTTTGGCAGTGTGGGCAGGTGCCAAATCCTGCTGGAAAATGAAATCAGCATCTTCAAAAAGCTGGTCAGCAGAAGGAAGCATGAAGTGCTCCAAAATTTCTTGGTAAACGGGTGCAGTGACGTTGGTTTTCAAAAAACACAATGGACCAACACCAGCAGATGACATTGCACCCCAAATCATCACAGACTGTGGAAACTTAACACTGGACTTCAAGCAACTTGGGCTATGAGCTTCTCCACCCTTCCTCCAGACTCTAGGACCTTGGTTTCCAAATGAAATACAAAACTTGCTCTCATCTGAAAAGAGGACTTTGGACCACTGGGCAACAGTCCAGTTCTTCTTCTCCTTAGCCCAGGTAAGACGCCTCTGACGTTGTCTGTGGTTCAGGAGTGGCTTAACAAGAGGAATACGACAACTGTAGCCAAATTCCTTGACACGTCTGTGTGTGGTGGCTCTTGATGCCTTGACCCCAGCCTCAGTCCATTCCTTGTGAAGTTCACTCAAATTCTTGAATCGATTTTGCTTGACAATCCTCATAAGGCTGCGGTTCTCTCAGTTGGCTGTGCATCTTTTTCTTCCACACTTTTTCCTTCCACTCAACTTTCTGTTAACATGCTTGGATACAGCACTCTGTGAACAGCCAGCTTCTTTGGCAATGAATGTTTGTGGCTTACCCTCCTTGTGAAGGGTGTCAATGATTGTCTTCTGGACAACTGTCAGATCAGCAGTCTTCCCCATGATTGTGTAGCCTAGTGAACCAAACTGAGAGACCATTTTGAAGGCTCAGGAAACCTTTGCAGGTGTTTTGAGTTGATTAGCTGATTGGCATGTCACCATATTCTAATTTGTTGAGATAGTGAATTGGTGGGTTTTTGTGAAATGTGAGCCAAAATCATCACAATTAAAAGAACCAAAGACTTAAACTACTTCAGTCTGTGTGCACTGAATTTATTTAATACACGAGTTTCACAATTTGAGTTGAATTACTGAAATAAATGAACTTTTCCACGACATTCAAATTT